TAGATAAATTAAGTTGTTCAATGTCACTGGTGAGAAAGAATCTGAATCCAGATCTGACTCCAAACCTATGATGCCTCGTATATATCCTCAGTACCTGTTTAAGTATGGATTCCTCCTACACTTCCACCCCCCACCTGAAATAATCCCTGGGACAGATATTTACATGCAAATAGTTTATTTAGGTGGCGATCTAATGAATAGTGGAACAGGGATAGAAGAATAAGATATTATAGTGATGGGAAGAAAGCCAATAAATGGTGTGTTATCCAGCCAGTTACCCCTGTACCCCAATACTGCTGAGGAACTCTGGGAGACAGCACAGAACACATCTCAGAGTTATCCTAATCAAAGGGGTGAGGAAGCTCTTCATCCGTCACTGGATAATCCCCACCTGTCATTGACTGAGGGTGTCTTCCAGGGGCATTAATGTTCTGCCTTTCCATCTTGCCTCAGCTTGCTCCTTTTGCTCCAGAAAAAAAGGCAGGAAGTCATAGATGGTCACATAAGAAGCCACCCTTATCTGCTACACTGCCTTACAGATATTTTAATAAAACAAAATTTTAACATTTTAATTACTGTTAATGTTTCTCTTTGGGTCAAGCACAAGTCTTCAGGGTCTGCAGGGCAGTAAGTGACTGTCATTGTGCTGTATTAAAATCCACACCTGACCCACAAACATGGCACATTGTCCCCAAATATTTTTTCCTTGTGATAAGATCATTCCAAAGGGGATCTCTCGATCCTTGCTGCCAACAGATCCTTGTCAGACCCAGCCCACTGGCTTTCCTATCATAATCAGCAATATATACAGAGTCCTAGAGTGACCCCAGTTAAACTGTCAAATGAAGGCCCTTGTAACATATGGTTTGTATTTCGCCTTTAGAAATTTTCTCAGGAAGCAATCAAATCAGGATTTTATAAAGCAAAAACAGTGGGCTTTTCCTTTCCTAAATTAAGCTGTTTTGATTAAAGTGAAGACTGCAGATACATAAGCTTCAGTGGGAAATGCAAAGATTATGTCTCAATTTCATTTTGTCTATGCTCCATGCCCTTCCTCTCCTTGATGCTCTTCCACCAGGGACCTACCATCCCTAGTTAACCAACAACTTTCAGGATCACCAGGGCCCTGCAACAGAAGGAGCTGGACACCCCAGTGTGGAAGGCTGGTTTCAAATTAGGTTAGAATAGGAATCTTAACCTGAAATCCTTGGAGAAGCTCCTGAACGCCTCTGATAACATATATATATATATATATATATAACGGTGTTTCCCAAATGTGCTTATTAGCATTTTTCTGAAGAAAAAATTATAAAGCTTTGAGCAATTTCTCAAAGTTGTATATTATCTCAAAAGGCCAAGAATCTCTAGGTTCAAAATAGTCCCAAAGAGCACTAAGTGGCTTGGGGAAAGGCAACAGCACACAGCCTCAGATCTTTCCAAGCAGAACTGAGCTCATGCTCCCAACATGTGGCTTCTTATCCACAGCCTCTTACTTTTTGAATCTTAGATCCTGGCCATAAATCTGTGTTTTTAGTTTAGATCTTCCTATACTTTCAACTTTGGTCATTTCCTATAAACTGGAACATGGTCAAACCTGAATGGAGACTTTCACACTTCAGAGGCGAGCCAATTGGCAAAGTCATTGGTCCAATGTGCTGAATTATGAGACTAGATAGATAAGCAGAGTTGTGTATCCATGATACTAGAGGGACTAAACCTCCAGACCAGGCTCAAAGGGCTAGTCCTGGATAATCCTGAGCTTCAGACATTCAAGTAGCTGTCAGCCCAATGCACCAAAGCAGTCTAAACAATGGTTGATTCACTGATTTTTTCAACAAATAATTAAGAAATTCCTACCATGTGCAAGGGATTGGGCTACGCACTGGGGACACTGCTGTGAACAAGGTGAGGTCCCTGCTTTCATAGAGATTAAATTCCACTTAGCAAGACAGACATTACATAACTAATCAGAAGTTTTTAACTGTGAGGAATGACGCTACTACATAGTAGTTTGGAGCACACAGCTAGTTTGCAGGGGCAGGATAGAGTGCTTTTCCTGAGGAAGTAATATGAGAACAACTTCTGAAGCCGCAGATAACTCAGAAAGATGTATCTGCAGCCCACACGTCTTTGCCAAGCTCCAGACTCAACTACCCAGTAGCTAACTTTCTGTGGATGACTCCAAAGTACTCCCTAATTTAACATATCAAAAAATGACTTTCCTGGTTTGCATTTTTTTAAAAATGAAATGTTGGCGAGAAATGAGTTCACAAGTTTCCTTCCTAAATGTGGATCTCTCCCACCACCCACCAAGATACAAAACCCAGAAACCAGGGTCAACAGATACCTCCCCTTTGCCTTACTTTCCAACTCTGTTAGCAAGTCCTCTCCATTTTACCTCCTATGCATCTCTCAAATACATTCTCTTCATATTTCCTCACCACCACCTCCCTTAGATCCCCTCATCCCTTCCCAGCTACCAATATATTTCATCTGGACTTCCTATCAGTCTGGTACTCACAGGAAACAGAAGACAATATAGATTTTGAAGATAATTAAAAGGTTTACAGAATGGGCAAGGAAAACAACAAGGAGGTTGAGGCACCCAAGGACTAGCAAACCATTATCATCCCTAAGACTGGAGGGACAAAGGGAAGGACGTTTTATTAGAGTGTGAGAGAACTGTAACTCCAGGGGCTCCCCTAAGGATGCAGAGGGCCAATGGATCAGCCAAATGTGCTGAATAGAAGTATCCCATTTTCTCCCTCTTCTACTGACTAAACAGAACCTGAAGCTGGAGGGCATGTCTGAGTGATGTCAGTCCCTGGGGCATAGAGAAGGGCAGAAAATGGATGCGGGAGGAGAGAACTTGCTCACACCCATGCTTGCCTTTCCCCCAAGCACCCTCTATGCAAGGGATCAGCAAACGTTTTCTGTAAAGGCCCAGATAGTATATATGTTAGCCTTGGCAGGCTAGACGGTCTCTATCACAAATACTCAACTTTAGCAGTTGCAGCATAATGTGCAAACACATTAGTGTGACTGTGTTCCAATAAAACTTTATAACATTGAGATGATTTCCATCTATTTTTTTCACATCAGAAAATGTTATTCTTTAGACTTAAAAAAACTACTTGAAAATGTAAAAAGTGTTCTCAGGCTGTATCAAAGAATGGCAGACAGAATTTAGCCAGGGACTGTAGATTTCGGATTCATGCGGTATACTACAGCCATGGATCTTTGTAAAACACGAGTTAGTTCACTGTGCCCCCTGCTTGAACTTTTGCATATTCCCAAGGGGCTTAGGATAACAACGCAAGTCATGTAGCCAATAAAGACTGCCTAGTCTGGCCCCTACATACATTTACTTCCCCACTGTCTATACTTCAGCAGCAAGAGCCTCTTTGGGTTTCCCTTTCTCAACATCATGCTGTCTCCACATCTTTAGAATACTCTGCTCTTCACTCTCTATCTAGTTAACTTGCAGATCTCAGCTCAGTGCAACATAATTTATAATAGCAAATACAAAATGAAAAAGAGGGTGGGGGCATAGCATTCCCAACACTAGGGAAATGAATTATGGAACACCAGGCAGCCATAATGTAATTGTAGATTAATGAGAAACAATGTTCATTAGATACTAAAACACTCATGTTACAGTAATACTTATTATTTCATATCGTTGTAATACATTTATACATATATACATAGGTGGAAAAAATCCTGAAGCGAACGCACCAAGCTGTTCTGAGTTATCAGAGTGATAACTCAGGGGTAATGAGGTCTTTTCCTTTTTGCTTATCCATACTTTCTAAAATACACATGTATTAAGAAAAATCAATACGAATTAAAAAAAAATCAACTTAACCAAAAGAAAAGTCCTTAATTTTGGGTGAATATGTTAGAAAGTTATGAAGTTATGAGAGGGCTGGGGAAGGAAAGGAGAGGTTTTCACAGTTTGATCTAATTCAAAACTAAATTTGTGAAATACTCAAGTTTCCTAAAATCACTCAGGATAAGTGTGTGACATATTGGTGGACATATTTTAGTTCCCGGGTTTTGACATTAATTGTAACGGACTTTTAAAGGGTAGCTCTTTTCTCTATTAAAACGAAATGAGGCCGGGCGTGGTGGCTCACTCCTGTAATCCCCGAATATTGGGAGACCAAGGTGGGAGGATTACCTGAGGTCAGGAGTTGGAGACCAGCCTGGCCAACATGGTGAAACCCCGCTAAAAATGCAAAAATTAGCTGGGCGTGGTGGCGCAAACCTGTAATCCCAGCTCCTCAGGAGGCTGAGGCAGGAGAATCGCTGGAACCTGGGAGGCAGAGGTTGCAGTGAGCCAAGGTCGTGCCACTGCACTCCAGCCTGGACAACAGTTGAAATGGAATCAACTGAGTTATCTCTCTTCAACTTGATTTAAATCATTAACCCAAAACCTAATGCCTTAAAAACCAATGACTAAAATCCCCATTAAAATGAGTGCAGCATGCAATGCTAGGAATGCTGTGTCATTCTTCATCAAAAGTAACTGCCTCAACGCAAGAGGAGACACGTACGCATGGAAGTAAACCCAAAATCTCAACTAACGACACCGTTCTGAGATCAGTGGCCACAGGGAATAATTCTGAAATTGCCATCATACTTAGGAAACATAACCCGGAGGTCTTATTTTTATAAGTATCAAGAACAAAATCATCCAAAGGCACACGAAATGCCAAACTAAACATAAAGAGCGAAAACCCAAAAAGTTGTGCGCAATGCCTTCTGAAACCTATCCACCTCCTACCCCTGTCCCTTCCTCGGACGCTCGCAGGTCCTCCTCCCGGTTTCCCCCACCGCAAGCCCTAGAACCGCACCGCTCAACCCTTTTCTCGGCGGCCCCGCCCCGGCCCCGCCCAAGCCATGCCTCGGCCCCGCCCCGTTCGCCGTCTATTGGCTTCTCTCACCGTCTGCCGGCGGGTGACGAGCCGGGAAGCCGGGAGGGATCTATTGCGCACGCCCAAGTCGCGGGTCCTGGAGCAGGAGAAAGGCGGTGGAGTGGCATCCGAGACTAGGAAGCGCGGCGTTCGGCGGGATCCTTTCCGGAAGCGGAAGCTCGGGGGGCGGGCCAAGAAGGTCCAGGAGCCCAAGGCGGTTAATTCTTTCTACCGTCAGGCTTCACTTCCCTCGATCTGGGCTTCTCTGAGGCTGCAAGAGATGGTCAGGTCCGGGTCTCGACCCGGCCAGGTGAGGGCTGAGGACCTGAGGAGTCCGCTGTGGGGATGGAGAGGGACAGGGGGTTTTCGGGCCAGGGACTTGTAAAACTGCTCAAAAAGAGACAAAGACAATGCGGCGACATTAAAATGCTGGGACAGAGGTGCAGGGACACCTAAGCTTCCCGTTAATACAGCCGCTTGGTCTCTGGAGGTGTTTCTGTTTAAATCGTCGTAGCCCTCTAGAGCGCCGGCTTTGGGATCAGACCCGGGTTCGAGTCCCAGTCTTTGCCGCTGGGTCAAGTGACTTAACTTCTCCTAGTTTTAGTCACCTGCAGATTGAGATTCCACTACTTTTTACTTCCCGGAACTTCCTACTCCTTAGCTCTAAAATGGGCAGAAATGAACATAAAATTCTGTCTTAAAGAATTGGGAAGGTTAAATGATAGTACCCGGTAAAAACATCGATCACACACAGTTGGTGTAGACATGCGACAAAATTAAGTTCCCTTAAAAACACGTAGTTTGCCACCATCTGAATGACAACAGCAGTTAACATTTAGATAGCACTTATGTGGCAAATACTACGCTAAGTGCTTTCGTGCACTAGAATACATAGAATAACTCATTTAATAGTCACAATATCCTTTTTAGGTAGGTACTGTTATCCCTATTTCATACATGAAGAAATCGAGGGCTGCAGGGTTCAAATACTTCCCAGCCGTTACAGCGCTGTGGAATAATATTCACATGCACAAAGCTGGCGCCAGAGTCCATTCTTCTTTTAAACATTTTACCTAGTAGATGTATGACTTTGAACAAACCACTTTTTTGAAATTTAGGTTCCCACCTCACAGAAATAATGACAACTTACAGGATATGGATTAAGCAGAAATGAAAGACCTTAGTATACTCTTAAATCATTCAAAAAGCCAGTATTATCTTGTACTTGTTGGTAAGGTGATACGACTACTAAGAAATGCTTATATGTTTCTCAAATAGCAAAATTAAAAGTTTAATGATAATAACCCAGTAGAAGTAAGTGTAAAATAAAGCAAACTGATTCTTCTGTATTGTGATTAGGACACTCCTTTTAGAAAGCAGCTTCGCAGTTTATGTCAAGGGTTATTAAAATGCCAATAACCTTTCACCAAATAATTTTCCTTTTAATCCTAAATATGAAAAGGCTATTATTTTCCATAGATAGACCTATTCCAGGTTTTTTTTTTTTTTTTTTTTTTTTTTTTTTTTT